AAAGTCAAAATGATTCAGGACATCGAGGCAGCCACGACAGGGCAACTAAAGACACTCACAAAAGAGGACTTCCAGGACTGCTTCAGAAAGTGGAAAGAGCGATGGGATAAGTGTGTTCGAAGCGAGGGGGAGTATTTTGAGGGGGGTTAATGGCAATGTGTCTTTTACTGTAATAATTTTTTTTAATTTAAACACTCACCGTATTGTTTGATCACACCTTGTACTTCTGTTTGAGTAAAGAATTCTAGGTTGGCAGCTTTTTCTTCCTGTTTTGCAGACGTTGCCCCACTGTCTTTCCACTGGTCTTGTTTCTGAGGAGAAACCGTCTCTCCCGTGTACCTTTGCTCCTCGTGTGAAATGTGTCTTTTCGTCTCTGGCTGCGTTTCTTTTTATCGTTCGGTTAAGCCCTGATCGTTACGCGCCTGGTGAGGTTCACTGAGCCCCTTGGGTCTGTGGGCTCACAGTTCATATCAAGTTTGGGAAAGCATCTCTCTAAATGTGTTTTCTGTTTGTCCTTTTCCTTGGAGACTGCAATGGCACGTGTATTAGGTGACTTGAAGTCCCACAGCTCACGGATGCTTGGTTCAATTTTTTTGTCTTTTTAATTTCATTTTGAGTTGTTTGTACTACTGTATCTTTAAGTTCACTTGCCGTCCCTTCTGTGATGGCAAATCTACCTTTACTCTCAACCTGTACATTTTGTGTTTCTAACACTGTAGTTTTCGTGCTAGAATTCAGGTTTGTCTCATAAAAGGCATCTCTCATGTCTCTACTGAACGTGTGCAACCTCATCCCCAACGGGCTTTCTGAACAGGGTAATGCAGTCGTATTGCATAACAAATACCCTCGTCTACTGATTCCACCACCCAAGTCGTTTCTGGATCTGTCTCTATTCTTATAGATCACTTTTTCCTGCTTCTGTGCATCCCAGTGATTTCTGATTGGCTGCTACACACTGTGAATTCTACCCTTTGGGGTGCTGGATAATTTTGCGTTCTTGTGAATATTCTGGAACTTTGTTCTGGGCTGCAGGTAAGCTACTTGTAAGCAGTTTGGCATTCTTCCTAGTCTTGCTTTTAAGCTTTCTTCAGCCCAACCAGAGGCGTGCTTTGTCTATTTCCTCACCCCTGAGACAAGACTCATCAGACTTTGTCACCAGGCGTGGGGGTGAATCCCGTCTCCTGGTGAATCCAGTTCCTGCATTTTGACTGGAAGCCAGATTTTGGACTCTTTCGCTTTTATTTTGTTTGAAAGAATTAGTCAGAACCCACGCAGCTCTTGACAACATTATGTGGCAGAGACCTTCCCTGGTGTCGGTGGTGACGCGTGTGCTGTCCTCCTCAGCAGACATCTAGCTGGTGGGCTGTGGGGCTCAGCTCTGCCCTGGAAAGGGGCAGAGGCTGTTATTTAGCTTCATTTTCAAGAGGGAACATACTCTGTATGACTTAAATATTTTGAAATTCATAGAGATTTACTCTCTTGCTAGGCCTCAGTCTATTTTGTCAACTGCTTCGTGTGCACTTCAAATGGCAATTAAGTCCCTTTGGTAAATGGCGTTGTCCCAATTTTCTACAAAATTATGTTGCCCTGGTGGGTCTATCGATTACTGAGGGAACGGATTTGTTTATCTCTCCTTTTAATCTGTCACTGTTTGCTTCCTGCCTTTTAAGCTCTGTCATTAGGGTTATTGTATCTTCCATGTTGGACCAAACCCTTTATCATGGCGCCACGTTTGTCTGTGACACGGTAATTCTCCTTGTCTTAAAGGTCACTTAGTGTGACGTTATTCTTACCACACCAGCTTTTTTATCTTATGTTTGCATGTTACGTTTCCCACTCTGTTACTTTCAGCACATATGTTTAAACAGCACGTATATAGTTAGGTGGTTTTTACTTGGTGTAGTAACTATCATTTTAGTCTACATTTAATGGAATTACTAGTGTGGCTGGATTTAAGTTTACCGTTAGCTATTTGTTTTCAATTTGTGTTATCTGTACTTTGTTCTTTTTTCTTATTTTCTGCTTAGTTTGGATAAAATTACTACTTAAAACACATCCCTTTTTGTCTCTGCTATTGGCTTATTAGTTCCACCTCTCTGCTTACAGGGCGTACCTTTAACTCATCTTGGCCCACCTCCAGATGATAGTAATCCTCTGTGCTGACCCCTATGTCCAGACGTGTCATCCTTACCCTGGTTCTGTGATAATGGTTTCTTCTTCTCCAGCTACTTGTAAGGTTTTCTCTTTATCAGTGGTTTTCAGAATTCTATAATGTGCCTGCCTGTATTTTTGTTATATTTATTCTGCTTGTGACCTATTGAGCTTCTTGGATGTCTGAGTTTATAGATTTGGAAAAATTCTGGCCACTATTTTGTCAAGTAACTTTTGTCTTAATCGCCCCCTTTCTGGAACTCCAATCACATGTGAAGAAACCGATATTTATTTTTGGTCTGTGCTTCACCAGGACCGCACGTTGCTGTGAGTCTTGGCTCGCGCTGCTTCCTCTGTAACCTGGCGGGGGGCAGGGCGTGGGTGCACTTACTGGACTTCACCGAGTGACAGTGGAGAGACTGCGATGAAGCAGGGGTCAGTCAAGAATGGCCTTGGCTGATACGGTCACCTCGTCAGAACAGGTGCAGTTCCCTGGGCGTGTTGTGGAGTACGCTGGACCCTCCCGTTGTCGAGGGGGCATGTCTGTCTCCATTCGAACACGTTTCTGCAGATACAGATTTGCCTTCTCTGCCTTCGGTGTTGCTGCCACACCGTCTGCGGACCTAAGGGGTGGCTGAGTCACCGTCGCCCAGGTCGTTTTACCGCAAAGGAAGCAAGGCAGCCATGCTCTTGAACTCTCTCCTCCTAGAAGCAGCTGGCACGACAACGGAGGACCGACTTTTGAAGCTTCAGGTGTGCTGCCTGCTGGGGGACGGCGCCCTGTAAGGTGGGGGCGATGACATTGCACATAGGATGTGCTTTGAACGGTGGATTCCCAGCAGGACACATGTCTGTGACACCAGGGGTGATGGTGGGAGTGGCAGTGCTCTCCCTCAGTAGCTACGATCGGGCGGCTTGAGCTGCGTGTCACGTTCACACAGTCGCCTCCGCAGGCGCACAGCCCTGCTGTGGAGCTCAGTGCGGTGCACGACTCACTCTGGCCCGACGTGTTTACTCCTGCACGGGAGACGCAACGCAACACTAGTGCACGGCTCATCCCTTCAGCAGAGTCCCAGGAGAGCGGCTGGGTGTCAGACAGGGTCACGGGGAAGATGCTGGGCGGAGCTGCAGGCGACCTGCTCGAGGAAAGGGGGGTGGGGTGAGCTGGTGGCTGACTCTGACCCTTCACGCCCCGTCACCGCCTTTCCGATGAGCCCACCCTGCCCCGCGACCCTCTGCGGTTCCACTGCTTTCTCTGCCACCTCAGGCTCTTCTGCCTGAAAGGGCTGAGTCCCCAAGGATGGGATGCTTCTGCTTGGGAACACAATTGCGCACTCAAACTCCAGATGGTCACCAGCGACTTGGGGCCACTCCTGCGACCGAGCCAACAGGACAGGGGTGTCCCCGATGCTAGCGACAGGCGGGGACTGGGCGCTGACCCTCTGGGCTCCTTTTGACACCTTCATGACTAATATGACTAGTAAATGCAAGACAGATACTTTGGGGTAAAAATTTGAATCTGCTCACTAAAGAACCCTGACCTTCCTGGGTGCTGGTCGGAGCCAAGGAAACATGCAGTGGGGGTGGGAGGTGTGACTATGACCGCATCCTCACAGCTGCTTACAGAAATGAGGATGGCGGGGCCATGCCGACTGCCTCTGGCGCGTGCGTGACACCGTAAGCACCACCCCAGCTTGTTAACCGCTTACTCGCCTTCTCCACTTCTTGACATCTGCTGCTGCTCTAAATTGGGAAGATGAGTGGTGGTGAATGGTGAACTCTGACTGTTTGCACATTAGACAATGTCCAGATGGCTGTGTGACTGCAGTGGCAGGAATGACACCGCCCGGGAAGGATGTGGAGATGCATGGGATGTCTTGTTTTTGGGAGAAGGTAAAAGCATGTGTTTGGGGGTCTGATCATTGCATCACGTCAGGAGGAAACACAGCGGGTATCACTCACTCACACACAGAAAGGGGGAGACAATGGACGCTGAGTGGCTGCAGATGGACAGCACTGGTCACTGGCCAGCTGCTTGCGCTCAGTGTCCATTTCCATGTCCGACAGGCCGGCTCCTGGTTGGGCCAGCGGAGTGGGGAGGGAATGCAGCTGAGACAGGCGGGGGAGGGGCAGAGACTTCCTTCTTTCCAGGTTCTGACGGGGGCTCTGGGTGCCCCCCGCCCCGTGTGCAGCCACACCACCTAATGCCTGTGGCCACGGTGCCGTCACCCTTCATTTCACTGGGAAGTTGTGTCCAGCTTTAGATGTGAAATGTTCAGATCCTGCCATTAGTTGTTCTTAAGAGAAATTAAATACATTTAACCAGTTTCAAAGGCAATCCCCATTTACTATATTAAAAAGGGCTGATGCAAAGAAGTAAAACGGCTGGTCCATGCACGGTGCCGTTTGGTGCGTGTCCTTGTCTCTGATCGGTGGGGTCAGACACGCACTGGTGGCCGCGGCTCCTCTGATTTCTGTGAACGTCACTGTTACGGACCCCGACGCCGGTGGCTCCATCGCCTGAGCCCCACGTCCAGTGTGGGGTCGTGACCCACCGGCTGTCCCCGTTGTAACGACTTAACAGGACTGCAGTGTGTTTGAGGCCCACGCGTGAGCACGGGAATGACAGCCGACTCACCAGGGAGGGGCAGCCGTGTACGCTCGGGTTCCGGGAAATGTCAGCCCCCGTCCACGTGGCTTCGGAACGCCCCAGCCCTTCGCTTGGCTATTGAGAGCTTCATCTATGGAATTTCAGCTACTGTGTTTTCCAAATGTGCTAGAAAAGCACTGAGGACAGCCTGAGGAATGCTTGTCTTTCTAGTAAAAAACTGCACATAACAAACCTCAAGTACACACGACTTTACATTTTATTTTATTCATTCCATTGCAAACCCAAAGTTCTTTACATGGCGCCGGCCCCACGGCCCATGACCGGGGCGGGGCTGCACCTGCCATTTCATTGTCATGTTACAGTGAAAGGGGCTGAGCTCTGAACGCCGCGAAGTCGCCATGAAAGAGAAAGTGGGTCAGGAGGAGCGAACATCCATTCGATGTCTGCTTATCAGGGATTTTCTCCTGAAAATGCACGGTGGCATTCCATTCAAAACCCCTTCATCACAGACAGGAGGGACAGAGCCCGCGCCCGGCCCCCCCGGAACATCCTAGTTCGTTCACCTCCTTCATTGGTCGCTGGCACGTCTTTCTCTTTGAAAATGAACCTTGATGCATTTTACGGTTATAAGGTCACCTTGGGCTACAGGCTGTGTCTGAGTCTGTTGTGCCCGGGCCGCGGGGCTGGGAGTGGCCTGGGCTTAGCCCGTCCCCGTTTGCGTCCTGGCTGGCAGTGAGCAGCTGGCACCAGGCAGGGGTGACACACCGGGACTGAAGGTCTTTCCTGATGGGGGTCTCTGGGTAGAGACACACGTCACAGCCACCTCAGGAGGTCAGTAAACATGTTTTCCCCTGTGCTTCTGGCCTGGTGGTCATTTTCAATAGAGATGCCCCACATACAAAATCCCATTAGTTTTAGAAATTCAGAAACATTTCTTTCCCCAACGAACCCAGAGGCTTTGCTTCAGGGCACAAGCGAGCGTCTGTGGCTATGACTGTGCCTCAGGGCAGGTTCAAATCATGTCCCAAGGAAATGAATCAAGGGGATTTCGGGAAGAGCAAAGGTGACACCAAGGTGTCCCCTGTCCCGTGCTGGGCTCAGAGAGGGGACCCAAACCTCATGCTGCCAGAGAGGCGTGCTGTTCTCTATTGCAGACTGATGCCACCCTCGTCACCGTGACAGGCGGGGAAGTCTGCATGAAGCTGTCCCCAGACACCCCGGCCACCCGTTCCGCTGCTCCCCACTCCAGTTCCTCCCTGCAGGCTGGTGCTTTGCCCTAACTCAGCACAGATGCGGGCACAGGGTGCGGCATGTCACCCCAGGGCTCCGGCACACTACCCGACACCCACAACAATGGCCGGGGCCACCAGCCGGCATCCCTGTCGGCCACCCGCAGTCAGCGCTCCCCCTGGAGCTGACGCCACAGTGAAGGGGATGACGGCATACCAAAGCGGGTACCAGGCTGGTAACATTTATAAAAAAAGGGGGGCTGAGAAGGGGTAAGGATGGGAGAGCAGCTCAGGGCCCAATCAGAAGGGAGGGGGCCTGTGGGGGAGGCCGGGAGGGCAAAGGCAAAGCCACAGACAGCCCGAGTCTATCAAAAAAGGGCCGATAAATAAATACCCTCGAAAGAAAATGAAGTAGAAAAACAATATTCTGTGTTTTTTTAAAAAGATGGTCAATGTTTCCTGAAGTTTCTAAATGAAGTTTATAAAATACTCCTAAGCTCCCACAAATATAGAAACGTTTAAAAACCAGGTGGCAGTCAGCCACGTGGTGATGCCTACGGTGTTGGCAGAGGGTTTGTGCTGGAAGCAGAAGGCAGAACACGTCCCGTTTTCACGTGTGCACGCGGAGGCCGCCACCGACCGGAGGGGCCGTGTGGAAGACGGAGATGGAACCCTAAAACCAGGGCACTTCAGGGGGACAAGCGCCCCTGGTGTCCACCCAGCCCCTGGGCGCCTGCCAGCAGGGAGGCCCCGGAGCCCAGCCGAGACGGGCTGGGCGCCCCCCACACACGGGTCTCGCTGTGGAGGCCAGGCGCCCGGTGAGCTCCCACGGGGGCCCCTCAGGCCTGCGCCTCACCCAGAAGCGAAGTGGAAACCCCCACCCCGTCTCTGGAACTGGGGCCTGGGACGGTGAACGCGCAGCCTGCATGAGAGTGAAACCCGGAGGAGGTCACAACAGCCGTGGCTGGCAGCCACGTGGGGGCGGGGCGGCCGCTGGGTGCAGCCTCCTGACGCCAGCACTCCCCTCCCTAGTCCAGTTTCTTCTGAGCAGCCGTGCTCCCGGCTTCTGAGTTCTCAGGGCTGAAGTCGGCACAGAAGCCGTTGGGGGTGGAAGCGGGGGGCGTCTGAGCACAGCTCTCGAAAGGCGGCCGGTCGGGGTACAGATACTCCTCTGCAAAGTCGGGGTACATTTCTGCAAACCTGCTGAAGTCAGCTGGAAAGATAAGGGGACAGTGGTTACTGGACCTTGGGGGTGGACGCCTGAAGCTCGCGGCCCTTCCCGGGGTCCACACGGGCGGCCCCCCACCCCCTCTGTCAGGGCGGGACTGAAGTCAACGATCTTGGAGGTGAGGCAAGGAACGGGCACCCCATTTCGTTCTTCTCTGCTGTGCTCCAAATCACAGAGGAGCCAAGGGGTGGTGACTATATATCCTTTCAGCTATTCCTCATGATTGGGAGTTCAGCGCTATGTTCTGGGCACTCCGCACATGTGAGGGAGGCACCGCTCGTCACAGGGGCCGGCTCAGGGACAGGACAGCGTCCACGTGGCGACAGACACGCGATGAGGCAGGCGCTGCCAGTGGTCTGAGCTCAGGGCAGACCAGGCGTGCCGGAGGCTCGCCCTCTGAGCAGGTCACTTCCGTGTCCCCCAGTGGCCTGGGGCCCTGAGTTGGGGAGTTGGGGTGGTCCCTCTAGGGCACTGAGGACAGGTGACGCTGAGAGGCCTGGGTGCAGGAGCCTGCAGGCTTCAGGGAAACTTGGAATGGCTTCTCCTGGAAAAGTCTGCCTTAGGTCAGAGCTCACTCCAAACCTCGCCAACAACCCCCAATCCCACCATGAGGCACGGCCTTCTTTAATGCAGATACGCGTGCCTGCACACACACAGCTAAACCAACACACACACTCATGTCTGACATTTAGACACAGTTTTAAAACATGTCCAAACAAGACGTGAATGATGACCTTTCCTGAGCAAACGTCTTCTGTTTTGAGTAAGAACACACGTTCATTTGAAATGTGCACACTGGCTGCAGCGCTGAGCCTTCCGGGACGCTGCTGGCCCCCCCACACCCCCCCCCGGTTGGTTTCAGGTCCTGGCCCCTGAGGATCTGGGCTGTTCCACTTTGTGTGGCTACAGGTGACGAAGCCAAAACCTCCCCCAGAGAGGGGCCACCTGGCAGTCAGTGGTTGTGGGGCTGTCGATTTGCTCCCGCGCTGGGACCTGACCTGGGGACCTGACACGGATGCCCCACCTGGGCCTGGCAACGCCCACAGCCCCAGAACAGCGTCCATCATGGGCTCTGAGCTGTATGTCTGGGCTGGTGTCACATGCCTGCGGAAATCAGATTCGAAGCTGCCACCCATCCCGGCCAGGTTTCGGGAAGAACCTTTCTCCTGAGAATCTCCGAGCCGCTCGCGACACAGGGCGGCCTGGCGAGCACAGGTGGGCAGGAACTCCACGTGTGTCCCCACCCCTCCTGGGATGTGCCCTGCACGAGTGGGTGTCCATTGTCTCTGTCCCTCACGCTGTCCCTGGCGCCGCTCACCAAATGTGATCCGCCCCTTCTCTTCTTGGTCGATGGCCTGGAAAAGGTCAGTCACGGCGAGCTCTGCCACCCCTAAGGCCGTCTTGAGGATGCTGGACAGGGCGTCCTCGTCTATGCTGCCGTCCTCCTGAGACCCATACATCTGCGAGGCAGAGGCCGGCGTCACCCTGCAGCCCCTCCCGCCCACGGCTCCCCCAGCCCCACCTGTCCAGGGCGCCCACTTGTCCCCCCCGCCGCATTGGCATTCCCAGCTCTTGCAGGCTGATCCCACCGGGCAGCACAGCCAGAACCGGCTTGTCACCCCCAGGAGCAGGGGTGTGAGCGGTTACCACCTCCCACCTGCAGGTGGGCTCCCTGGGCAGCGTCTGCCCGCCTGGGCAGGGATGGCGCCTGTACCCTGGGCCTTGCCTGGCACTCAATGAAATAAGTGAGCCATCTGCCTGACCTTCAGGAGGCGGCCAGCCCGCTGACCACCGCCTTTCCCTGACAGCTTCTATTTAGCTTCTGGAAAGGGACGGAGGCAGTCACTGCAGGGCAGTGTGCGCTGTCACCCTCAGTGCCAGCTCTCCTGTGAGGGAGGGCTTCTTTGGAGAAGTGCTGGTGACACACGACCTGTCCCGTTGGGCGGGACCAGCAAGGTGGGCACAGGTGGTGCCATCCTCTCTCGGTGCCACCTCCTGCCGCAGCCCGTGAAACCTGTCTCTCAGGTGGGAGCCTCGGCACAGCGCCTGGAGACGGTCACGCTTGGGCTCCCTGCCTGTCAGTGGATTGGTGCCGCGGCCGTGCCGGGAGACCCGCGGAGCGCGTGGCACCGAGCAGCCCGCCAGGACCGGGAAGACCCTGTCCTGTGCTCTTCTTTTAAGCGAGGGTGACTCCTTCCAGGAAAATCAATCTGAGAAGCTTCGGGCATGTTTTTACACACAATGGCTGGTCTGAGCTCATGTGAACCCAGCACTCAGGCAAATGGTGACGTGTACCCCATTAGAAGGGCTGTAAAGACGCATCACAGGTCTGGTGTGACCCCCGTGTCACCGTCCCCACAAAATAAACTCACGTGAACCCCGCACTTGCCTTGAATGCCAGCTGCATGGTGTCCAGGGTCCGGGCTGGCCGGCAGACGACGGACAAGGCGACCACGTACTCCCGCGGGTCCATCTCGCCAGCCCCGCTCTGCGAAAGAGAGACGCCCTCAGGGGCAGCCTGGCCAGCACCCCTTGGGAGAGCCGGGGGGCCACACTAGCCACTGTGTTAGCTAGAGGACGGGCCTGCTCGGATGTGAGGTTGTGTGTCTGCAGGGGAAGAGCTCACAGCCAACAGGCTCTCCAAGGTAACTGCACCGCTATGGCGTTTCTGGCCGTTACAAATAATTTTCAGCCCATTAGACTGTCACACGAAGCTGCTCAAGAACGTGTTCACAGCATGATGACTGTCGCCCGCTAGGGCCTTCCTGTGAGAAAACCAGACCTGCCAACAGCAAGGCTCGCGCCTGGGCTCTGGGAAGCTAGCTTGCTGACAGCTACACAGTGAGCGCGCGGGGTGAACGCGAGTCCCGAGCTGTGACGTGACACCAGCGCCAGGCAGCCGCGGGCTCAGTGTCGCTGGGATGAAGGTTCTCAGCGATGCTGCCATCGCCCGGCCAGGCTGCTGCTCTGAGCGAGCAGGCTGCTGCAGTGACAGGCAGGCCCGTGGGGGGACAGGGAAGGGGAGCCCGCAGGGGGAGGACACGGCAGGGTCACAGGCCAGGCCAGCACGGCTGTGACGGCACCGGGCCTTTCAGTGATGTGATTAAAACCCCCCAAACCAGACATGTTTATCAGCAAACGTTAATTTAAATGTCAAATGTTTATGTGCGTTTAAAAGCATGGGAGAAAATCCCCCAAAAGGCAGGGCGGGCTGGTGCGTGGGGCCAGGTGGGGTGGTTTTCCCCCTTTACTTCCAAAATTGTCTACAGAATGTCTGTTACAAGGAAAACAATTTATACTTGAAAAGCTGAAGGTTTTGCCACCAAGCCCCCTGCTGGGTGACAGCGCTACCTCGTCAAACAGGGAGAACATGGCGCCCAGCGTGTCGGAGGCGGGGACTTCCAGGTACGCCGCAAACTCCGAGAGGCTGACCTTCCGGCCCCCTGCCATGCGGGCACCTTCTGCGTACCTGTCCAGGTCTTTTTCAAGTTTCTCTGGTTTTAGGCTAAACAAGAAAAGAGGAAAAAATGTTTTCAATATGATCACAGAATGCCAAAAACAGATTTACTGTTATGTTTAAGAACCAACGAACTATTAAAATCATTTATAGACCAAGCAGCTAGTTTTCAAGAAGAGGCTTCTGATCGCCTGCAGGCACCGTCACTGGTGGGGGCGGCTCCCAGCACTCGCTGTGGGTCTGCGAGAGGGCGTCCTCCAGGTGGTGCCAGAGAGCCGCACCGACCGGGGCTTCAAGACACCAACTTGTGCGGATGGCAGTTGGTATTTGAAAAAGGAACCCCTCCCACTAAGTTCTGACGATCCCTGCGACATCGGGGGGCCGTTGGGGGCCACTGTGACCTCCAGCGGGTCACCAGCACCTGTGGGGGGAGGCCCTGCAAGGCGCAGGTGGAAGTTTCCAGTCCAGTTTGCAGCTCTCAGCCGAGCTGCCCCCTCACTGCTGCTGAACACGGCACACCTGCCTTGTCGCACGCGCCTGCGGCCCCGACGCTTGGCCCAGTGTTCGTGGGAGCGTCCTTTCTGACCAACTGCTGGAGAATAGGAACCAGGCACTCACCCCAGGCCCCTCACCAGCCTTGCAAATTCTAGGAGGCAGGTGTCCGCGGGGAGGCGAAGCTGTCCCTCTGCCAGGGCCAGCTGGCAGTCCTCGAAGGTGTAGTCAGTCACGGAGACGCCCAGGGCCCTGCAGGAGACAGAGGGCCCCTGTGAGCACCCCACTTCACAGGGCCTGCCCTCGAGGACTGCCCTGAGTCCTCTCTGAGTGCAGAAACCCAGGCAGAGGCGACACAGGTCGGCGCGTCCCTCGTCCTGCTCTGAGCCCCGCGACACCCACACTGCACGGCGATGTGTCCACGAGAACGTGGGCATGCAAACAGGTGACCTCTCTGTGGGATCTGAGACCCCTTCTCTGTTCCATAAATGGTGCTTGCACTGAGCTTTCAGCGTTTTACTTTGAGACCTCATAAAACTCACTTTAGTTAAAAGAAGAAACTGACATAAATACAGGTGTGTCCTGGCTGGACGTGCAAATCGTGACTAGAGCCAGTGTCCCAGGAAGGGGGTCACCAGGGTGACACGTGGACAGGCAGCTGGAGGCGTAGGCGGCATTAAGGCCCCCGGTGTGTCCTCTGCTTGGGGAAGCCCGGCCGGTACGCGGCTGAGGGAACCAAACCACCTGTCCAGCATCAGAGGGCACAGCACGTAAAGCTTTTAAAAGCCAGACTAAAGGGACACGTGAGGATGCCTAATGCAAGCAAATCCTTCTACGCCCATTTTCAGCAGCTTGTTATCCAGCCAGCAGGGGCTGCCCTGTCTGTCCCGCCTCCTGTGGGAGCAGCAGACACAGTTTCCAGCAATTTCAGCAGAGGCTGTGCAGGCGGTGGGGGAAATGCACACTAGCACATCTCCCCATAACAACCTGGGAAGGGCCAGACTGAGGGGACGTGCTGATGACACTGAGTGACCCCACCTTCAAATCCCTCTGGGTCAGCAGGCACGCCGCCCCCGCCCCTCTTAACGGAGGGCAGGCTGGCTTTCCCTGAGCCCTTTACCCAGGGGTAACAGGAAAAGCCCCTTCTCCCTGGTGGGAGCAGAGGCCTGCGTCGCCCCACCCCCTACCCCTGCTGGAGTGGGACCCCTCCTGTCTGTCTCTCCCCAAGGAGGGGCTCCTGGGTGGGGCCTGGGCAGGACAGAACTGAGCAGCAAGGAAGCCTGCAGGGAGGAGGGAGGGGCGATGACAGAGAGGCTCTGACAGGGGACACGTGGGGACCTAAACCCAAGAGCCTCCCCCCACCTCGGAAGATGCCTTGAAACAGTCACTGGGTGGCGAAGACTCTGATCACAGCTGCAGGGGGACAACGTGTAAAGTTCATGTTTGCACTAAACATAAATGCCTAATAGCCGAGCCCAAGCCTCGTGGTTAGCTCAGCGTCATGTCGGTTTGCACCCACAGGAAACAAGCATGCGTTTGGGCCTGAACGGAGACGACAGAAGCCCAAAGCGGTGCTTGATGGAGAAGCTGAACGTTCTGCAGGTGACCAGGGGTCACCTGTCACAGCTAGCACTGCCTTGAAGTCACAGGGACAGTCAGGACTCAGCCATTCTCAGAGCTGCACCAGCATTCACGAAGAAGCACCTTTCCTGACCGCTGAAGAAAACATCCACGGCGGGAAACGCACCAAGTACAGAAAACGACCCAGCCCACGGCTGGTGGGCTGTCAGGCCCTGGGTGGGGGCTCCTCGTGCGCTCACAATGCTGTGAGCAATCGCGAGGGGACAGGGCTGCGAGGTCCTTCCGCGGATGCTGGGGTTTTCCGCACACTGAGGCGTGATCCCCTGGGACAGAAGTCACAGTCCTACCAGGAGTGCCAGACTGTTCCACAGCAGGGCGGGACGGGGCAGGGCTGCCTGCAAGCACTCGAGGTGTCGGGGCCCCTCCCAGGCGCATCTGAAGGTGGGACAAGGACCAGGGAGGCAACGGCAGCTCCACGGCAGCTCCATGTTTCTGGAATCCTCCTGCAGCCGCTGAGGCCGGGGTGCCCCATGGGCTATCTGTCCCTCCCATTGTTACAATATAGCACGCTTCTCCCATTATCACGGGTGGTTTCGTTAGGGTACATGTCTTTAAAAATGTTAATGATTAATTTATTTGAACGTGTATTGAAAATATTCACACCAAACCTGTTGGGCCTGCAAGCCCACGGACATTATTTCTTTATCATGAAGCTAAACAAGGGTGTCACTGAGGGTCCTGACTTCCCCAAAGCTGGTGGCCGGCGTGTGGTACAGAGTGTGGGGAAGGGACTCGAGGGTGGGCCGGGGGAGGGGTGTGTTCTGCTGGACTGTCCCCAGCGCTGCCTTTCTGAGGAGCCTGGACTGACCGGACACACAGCTCAGCAACAGCCCCTGGTGAGTGCCCCCTGGGTGTGCGTACCTCCCCACGGCGACGCTCCCTGTCAGAGCCCTCTCCTGGCACCAACGCAGCCGAAGTCAGAGAAGAAGAGAGGACAGCGGGGGGGAGGGGACACGGAGGAACGAAGGCTGGAGGGGAGGGGTGTGAGCCGAAGCCGCCACTGCGCGGAACAAGCCAGGTGGCGGCAGATCAGGAGGTGGTCACAGGCCGAGCGCGGCAGCGCCTGGCTGCGTAAGGCCAAGGAGCCGTGTCACGTAGGGGTGCGAACCACTTAACTCAGAAGACGGGGCGACAGCACCAACACACGCTACGGGGGGTGGGAGCGGGGTGAGCACAGAAGCTCCGGGAGGTGCCCACCCAGGCGAGCACCCTCGCTACAGCCCTGCTGCCGGTCACATTGGCGCCCGCACAGCGGCACCCGGGTGACTGGGGGCTGTGGGCACATCCGAAATTTGGGAAAGTGTGTGATGATTAAGCATCTTCCAAATGCTGAACAAGCAGCAATGTCGCCTGGCAGAAGCAGGAGACGTACAGGACGTGCCCAGTGGGCAGTCAGTGCTTGTTCACCGGCTTCTGCGAGAACCCTCTGCCCCAACACTATGGAAGTGGAGGCAGCAGGGCGTCCGGCAGACCCTCGCCCGCTCCGGGGGGAAGCGCTCACTCACTCCGCCATGACGCGTCGCACGTTGTTGGCGTACAGAGCTGGGTCCTTCCTCTCCTCCTCCGAAGGCCTGTACACTGGCAGGAACTGAGCACAGAGAGGGCTGTTACTCCCACGAGGGCCGCAGACACCCCCCTGACCAGCACCACCTAAGTGACAACTGAGTCTGACAAAATCGAGACCTGCCAAAGCGCTTCCCATCGAATCATCTTCGAAGCGGTCACCCATGCACACACGTGTGAAAACTCACACCCCACTGTCCTCGCCAGGAGCGCCTGCTGCCCCCAACAGGAGCTCTCAGGCTGGCACCGTGTTCACGAGGTCACCCAGGGTCTTGCTCTTCACACACAGAGAGTCACCTGTGTGCGTCCCTTTCTGAAGGTCCCATGTGGTGTTGGGGATAGCAAACAGATCATTTCCACGTCAGAGACGGACTAGTATTAGCTCTCTGACATTACTGCATTTTGAGATCACAATAAATCATCCCCTGAACATGTGTCTTTGAGTGAGTGACATTCACACAGAGTTTTAAGTGAGTCCGTCCTACTGTGCAGGAGAGGAAACCACCACCACTGAGCCCTTTTCTTCAATGTGGACGTTTAAGAACACCGGGACTTCCTGACATCCCTTCTATGCTCATCACAGCCTCTCTCCACCGCTACGTTTAAGAGAACCATGTGCATCGTGCCAGGTCCTCACGTCAGCCTTGCCCTCTGAAGGGTAACACCAGGAAGGCCACCAAAGTGACTCAACAGCTAGACAGCTGCTTTTCAACTCTTAATTAAATCAGAGACCAGGCCTGAAGCGGCACTGCCACCGGGGAGGCCTGTCCTCCTCAGGGCGCGGCCACCAGCAGACGAGTCTCAGAACATGTCCCAGGAGGCAGGTCTGCCACCCCGGGACTCGGGCCGAGGCCTTTCCACTCACCCCGGTGGATTACGTGGCTTACGTTCTCCTGAAGTCTGGCTTATTTGTAAATTCAGTGCTCCTCTCAATATTCAACAAAAGGTAGCAAATAGCCTCATTAAATACTTATATACAACTCATCTTTAATTTTCAGGTGCAGGAGTAGCTTGTTTAGAAAATAAACCCCTTTTAAGAGTTTTTAAGAAAATGAACTCTAGGGGCCAGCCAAATGGCTCAATTGGTTAAGAGCTTGCTTAAGAGCATGAGCGCTGGGCAATAGGGTCGCCGGTTCGATTCCCACATGGGCTAGTGAGCTGTGCCCAAGCCGGGCTGCTGCTCAGCTGCCAACAGGCGGCAGGATGGCTCAGCTGGTGAGAGCACGTGCTCCTAACAACAAGGCTGCTGGTTCGACTCCCGCATGGGATGGTGGCTACGCCCACCCGCAGCTGGTTGAACACAGCACCTTGGGCTAAGCAGCGCGACTGGACTTGGAGCTGAGCTGGCTGCACCCTCCACAGCTGGGATTGAAGGACAACAACTTGGCTGTTCCCCTCCCCCAATTCCCCAATAAAAATCTTAAGAAAAAGTGTATACATTTAAAAAAAGAAAATTAACTCTAGTTTTTAAGAAAATAAAGTCTCATCCTCATCCACACATAAAACGTACAAGCTGAATGAATATGATTGTATTTAATTTAGCTGAGAGGATGGGTGTCGTGACTTTGTCCAAGACATTCAACAGGATAAACGCTGGGAGGCAGGCCATGTGAGTATTAATCTGACCAAGTACTAACAAGAGGATGACAGTGTAACACATTTAACAGTATGAATTCAGCAGTATTAGTATCAGGTAAAAATAAAAGTAAAAAGAAAAATTCATTGCATGTGTGCCAATTTTATATGCCCTTAAGCTATGCTAACCATTATTTAAAAAATGTCAGGTTTAGTAGCTTCCTTGTTGATTTGAAAATCCTATCTGAATGGATTCAAAATCATGCAACAGAGCAATGTTGGATGCAACAGCACTGGGAGCACCTCTAAGGAGCCATGGAAAATGGAAAGAGTTCAGAGAGAGACAGATGACATCACACTGTTTCTATACAGATGTCAATATAACATTGTATCTATAGAGACCCCAACACAACATAGTATTGTATTTATATAGACCCCTGCATAACATTGTATCTATAACATTGTATGTCGTGTATGCACAGACCCCAACATAACACGGTATGATGTCATATCTATAGACCTCGATGCATTGTATTACACTGTCTCTGTAACACCCCCAACATAACACTGGGTAACACTGTATCCATACAAACCTCAATTTCCAATTGATTGTGAAACTGACATAGCGTGAGCCACAGGATTTCCAACCTTAAAAACGAATAGATTGATAGCATTGGTTAAAAGATTCCGTCTAGTTAAATTACTTCCAATTCTGGAGCAAAATCCCAGAGCCCTTCCCCTGAGAGGGCAGCAGCGGGCACTGAATGCTTCAGGAATGGATACTGAGCCTTCCTCAGCCTAAACCTGAACGTAACACAGCAACGAATGACAAGGCTACTTTCATTAAACCGTGGTTTTCACTGTTCTTATTAAATACACCCATACCTGCAGCTTTGACTTGCACTGCAAAGCACCACTTTCCGTGTCTGTCCTCCAGCTCAAGAAATCTTGTCCACCTGACAGCTGTCCCCACCCTGGCTGTCCCCTGGCAGAGCAGGCTGGACAGGCCCTGAGTCATGCCACCCCCAAGACTCCCTCTAGGAGCTGAGCAAGGGGAGGGCTGCTCCCTGGAGCTCCCCGCTTTCTTTCCCGGGGTCCCCTGGTCAAGGACGGGATGGTCACCACTCAGCCAACAGACACCGGCCGGAAGAGAATTCTCATGGTCACCTTCCCACTGGGGTTGGTGCTGGAACCCAGTGGGTGAGGACGGCCTGGCTCGCACATCGGTTCTCACAGTGGGGTGAGCCGAACCGCCGTCAGCCAGCAGCGGGTCACAGGCTGAGGTTTCACATTTGCTAACGGAACCGAGTGCTTTCCCAGAGGGCAGGACAAGGGGACAGCGCGGGTCTGACTTACGCTCCAGGGCCTTGCCACGTCCATGTGATGGTGTCCTGGGGGTAAGAAAGGAGCAGGTGAAGTCCCACCGGAAGTCAGGGGCAGAAGTCCCCGCAGATGCCATACGGGCGTCTCCTTCCGCAGGGGCGTCCATGCTTGTCTGCCCTCATCCCAGCCACCTCTGGGCCCAAGACGCCGGCATTCCCGTCCTCCCAAGTCCGCTCTGGGACAGGGGGAAGGTGGGCACTGTCTTCGCACAGCTCCAAGGTCACCACTTCCTATGCCCGCCTAAGACCCAGCCCCGTTCCTTTTCTGCCCTTCCCCCTTTCAGGGCACCGCTGGCAACTTCAGTCTACCACGCGGAGCCCGCTGTCTGTCTGCGACACCTGCCTGCCCATCACCATCAGCCAGCCACGTTCCAACCCCACACCCACCCGCACTCCCAAAGGCCCTTGTCTGACCACTCGTGGTCAGAGACACACTCCAGCGGGTCAGCCCCAGGCTCAGGAAGGGGTGGAACAAGCCCCTGCAGAACTGCGTCTCCTGTGCCCCCCTGAACCCCAATGTGAGCCCAGGGTCCTGGGGGGCAGTTCAGACCCTCTCCACCCACAGCCTCAGCAGCCGCACCGGCCACCTAGGTGGGGACGTCAGATGGCACCTGCCCCGCGTTTCTGTCCTGACACCGGTTACCCGCACGGGCTTCTTTCTTCTACAGCCCTGACCCCCTTATCAAAGGCTCCCGAGAAACCACCGCATGGGGTGCCCCGTAACCCGCGCAGCTCCCGTCTGCTTCTCTGACAGCTAAGCTGAAGGCTTCTGGAAGAACCAGTAACAGCATCTTGCTTAAAATACATTGATGGCACAGACTTAAAACATGGAAAACCCAGAATCCTACACACTGACAGATTCGTATTCTCAGAGGCTGGCTAACGGATGCACGTCTCCCAAGCTTCTCTCACGCCATGAGCATGACTTTATCTGTCAGTCAGTGAGGCGACCCATTCTGACTGACATGTATTCACTGTCCACGCCCGCAGGCACAGGGTCCGGTGTGCAGACCTGGGACCCCCACGGGTGTGGCCCAGAAGTAGACAGGCCAGGCTGCCTCGTGCCCACAGATGTCACACGTAATTCTGCCACCGTCTGTACCAGCAACTCCAGACCACACCGTGTCCTGACCTGTACGTCTCTTTTTCTGCTGTCCTAAAGACACGCTGTGACGGAGAGAAAGCTCCGTGTAACGAACACCTCTGCCACCGTGTCCTCCCCTCCAGGGCACACAGCACCCAGGCAGGGACTGGGGACTTGAGTGCGTGTGGATCACTCTCAGCTAGAAGAGTGCCCACTGGGGCACGGGGACGCCCACCTGGATGGTCTCACAGCAGGCGTGGGATGTGGCTGCCATGAAGCTGGCACCTGGGAGGAATGGGCAGCCGTGGAGACGGGGCGACACGGGGCCCCGGCTGGAACCTGCGCTGAGACCTCGTCCAGGCTCTGCCCCCGAGCAGGGGGTCCGTCACGATGCCCAGGAGCTCTGAGCCCAGACACCTGTCCCTTCATCTGGTTCTTAGGACAAAACCCTCTGCACATCCAGCAGAGACACGAGAAAGGCACGCAGACCACAGCCACCTCACGCCTTCTCCTCCGGGTTCCTGTCCTCCTGCCTCCCAGAACCTAAATATTCTTAATTTAAAAACGGCCCGGGGTGTGAGGTGGCAGTGAGAGCTGCTGACATGGGTGGGGTCTCCCACCGACACTTCCTGACCTATGAACGCGGGACTTGGTGTGCAGACCCTGGGAGCGCTCTGGGCAGCAGCGGGTTGGAAGCCAGTTCGCTCCGACGCCTCGCAGCGTTCACTCCCAGGCGCCCCCGCCTTCCCAGGCTCCCGGGGCACACGCTCACCAGCTGATTCAGGTACCGCAGAACCACAGGCTGCACGGGAACTCCCGGGATGAAGGCGCCTGCAGAGACAAGGGACGGGGGGCTGTCTCACCCCAAGGGCAGCAGGCCCCACGCCCTCTCCTCACACTGGCCTCACATGCGGCCCCCTGCCAGGCCTCCCCGCTTGGCAGAACCCGGTCGGTGCCCAGAAGGGTCCCGGCACATCCGTGCTGGCGGGAAACGCTCAAGAGAAAATTCCAGCCCGCAGCCCCGCTGGCAGGGAGCAGGCGGAGTGTCTCGGGGCTCAAATGCACTTTGGTGGGACCACCAGGAGGCACAGGTGGGGTAGGGGAAGGGTCTCCCCCACTTTCTCAAGGAGAAAATAATTAAGGGAACTACATACCAGGCTTGAAGGTAATTAGGCAGGTCCTGTTGGTACAAGTTCCCTCTGGAAAAATCATTATCTTGAAACGAAAAAAAAAAAAAGTTCAGCAATAAAGAGACATCATTCAGCGCTCACAGGTGTCTTCTGTCACAGGCTGTTTCTCTACTGCGGACGTTAATTTAGATACTTTAATCATTTTCAGTTGAACAAACTGGAATACGTCATCGTACGTTGATTCTCCCTCTAACTCCAGGTTTATTAAAATCTGGCAGCGACACAGACAGACAGCAGCATGTGCCTTCTTGGACCAGGGACTTGCAGACAGGCAGCCATGGTCCCCACCTCCCAGCTGCCCAGAGGCCACATGCAGCCATGCAGGATGCGTTCACGGCCAACGCCAGCCAGAGCCACCGCTGCAGACACACGCCAGTAGCTCAGCCCAGGATGTCAGAAGCCAGAGGACACCTTACAGGCGAACACACCACTCAGGGGAGACCGTGCTGACCGCGGCGGACAGGTGAGCAGCTCTTCCCACTCAGAACTTATATAAAGACTCGTCAACAAGATGACTGGGGAATTTGGGATGCACGTCAAAACTGTTTCTCCTTATTTCTTTTAATTTTAAAATTTCAGAATCCAAAGTGCCTGATATTTAGCACATTCTTGGATTTGCACACTCACCAAAAATAAAACGAAACACGCCCAGCCCCTGGGAAGGTCCGTTCCGGCCCTTTTGTTTCTTCTACCCCCGCTCTGCCCCCAAGTTCTCATCTTTTGGAATAAATCCATCCAAATGCAGGCAGGGCTGGTCACCTGTGGCCATTTGCCGTTGGACTGCGCCCGTCTCTTGATCTCCTCCACAGTCCTCCTGCGGGAATCCTGGTCTGACCGAGACACGAAGACCGGCCGTATGTACTTTATCAGAGCTGAAAGAGAAGGTGCTGGGTCGTGAGGGGACGCTGGCTTCCGCCACGGGACGGGGTGACGGGCGAGACCCCCAGACGCCTGAGGGTCGCACCACCGGGTGGACGAGGTCCACGCCTGACCACGAGGAAATCGGGACAAGCACCGAAGCTTCCGCTGAACTCAGACAACAGCACGAAGCCCCACAGCCTGCAAAGCGCCAAGTGCCACCACCGGGTGTCCACGGGGGACACATCAGGAGAAAGGTGGAGAGAGGCGGAGCCCAGGGCGCAGGAGTCTCCGTCCCCGCTCATGGAGGAGGGCATGGGGGCCCTGGGCTCCGGGTCGGGGAGCCCAGGGCATGCTGTGGGTTGGACTATGCCCTCAAAAGGACAGGGTGACGTCCGAGCCCCAGCTACCTGTCGCTGTGACCCTATCTGGAAATACTGTGTTTGCAGATGTCATCAAGGTGAGCTGAGGTGGTCAGGACTGGGGTGAGCCCTAGTCACTGACTGGTGTCCTTAAGAGGGAGAACAGACAGGCACAGGGAAAAGCTCCCCGTGATGACAGAGGCCAAGATGGGAGTGAGGGGCCACAGCCAAGGGACCTGGGGACTGCTGGGGGCCACGGGCAGCTGGAGGGAGGCCCGAGATGCTTCCCCTTGGGTCCGGCCCTGCGACACCATGACACAGGCTTTCTGGCTCCAGAGCTGTGAGTGCACATTTGTGCTGTTCTCAGCCCCGTTTTGGTCGTTTGTCACGCAGTCTCAGACACCCGTGCAGTGTGGTGGTGACCCGTGTGCCAGGACCAGCTACGGAGCTGCCCCAGACTTCCAGAACCCTCTGGTGGTGGTGACAGGCTTTTAGGCAGACTCGCAGAAGTGTTTCAGCACGTTATAACACTCGAGGGCGCTTGCGTGCTAACAGGAAGTAAACACCACATCACACCAAGGGAGACACCAGGGACGCGGGGCCGATGCCGTCACGTGGGCATGACCGGTACCGCTGAGGGGGCACTCACTTCCCCATATCGGGATGTCTCTGCTCTCCGCCTTCATCACAATGGAGGACATGGTCATGGTGACGGGGATGGCGTCGAAGTAGGAGGAATGTGGTGCCAGGGTGAGGATGGCCGCCTCGGTGGGCAGGGCCTGGCGCCCCTTCACGGCCACCCGGTGGAAGCCGCCGACGAACCACATGGCACGCATGATGGCCTTCAGCAGGAAGTCCACGACCCTGCAAGAGAAGGCGTGGTCCAGTGAGACCGCGCGGCCCCGGCGCCGGCCACCTCCTGAGGAGCGCCTGGCACGGGCCGGTCACTCGGGGACCAACGTGGGGTCTCAATGCCAACAGCACTGCGTCGTCCAGGCCAGCTGCTACTGCAGCAGCTGTTACTGAGACGTCCCAGACGGAGAGGGAGCTGTCCCCTTTGGCCAGTTAATGTGCGGTGGGGCGGCTTTTTGACATTTATTTGAGGAAACGCAGGGCCGGCTCAGCTATGTCACTCAGCAGCTTTAAGACAACACGCGGCCCCTGAATACACAGGACAAGGCACGCGGGCCAGAAGTAAGACACGACGCTGTAGCAGGAGTCATTTGTTAGCACTCTGAGTACATACATTTTAAATGAAAAAACAAAACCATCAAGACACCTAAACTACATATTAAAATATGGAGCGAAAGCCAGAGCTGTGGTTACAAGCAGACTCCTGCTGTGTAGGAGTCCCCCGTCTCATGTCCCACACGCAGCCTGAGGTTTCTGAAATCAGATGTCATGTTATTAGAATGAGCCTTTCCTGGATGAAATTAGATGAACAATAAATTTGGGAGTTAAAGTAAAAATCAGTCTAGATTAACAGAATGTGTTTCCTATTTATTCTTTTTAAAATAGAGGAGAACTGAGGCATTGCAATCTGTGCGTTGCCTTCCATGTACACTCTGACGGCTACAAACTAGATCACTATTCAGCACGTCATGAAAACCACATGAGAAATGGCTGCACACAGGCCAGGCCACAGGAAGAAGGGGTCACCTTTACAAAGAGCCGCGTCTTGTCAGCCACGGGGTTACCTGGGTGATCAGACCGGGTAAAGTTGCCACAGAAACACAAGAGCCCCACGCCTTACTGGACTGATCTCTGAGGGGCCTGAAGACCCTCAAAGCATTCCGGAAGATGAGGCTCCCAGGGACCTGAGTGGTGGCTGGTCGCCAGGGAGCAGGGGCCTATGGAGCCGCCTGGAAGGACCCTCGTTTGTCCACAAGATACAGTTGCTGCGTGGTTACACACGAGACGCTGGGACCCAGCTCAACCCCCACTGTTACAGCTGGTGTGGTCGCACAGGTACACACCTTCTGATCATTTGTCCCAATGCACGTGAGTTCTCACAATAAAAACACGTGAAAAAATGAAAGTCAACAGATGTCCACTGATGCATAAGGAGGAAGAACGAGGCTGCGGGAGGAAGAACGGGGCTACGGGAGGAAGAAACGAGGCTGCAGGCGGAAGAACGAGGCTACGGGAGGAAGAAATAAGGCTGCGGGAGGAAGAACGGGGCTGCGGGAAGAAATAAGGCTGCGGGGAGAAAGAACGGGGCTGCTGGAGGAAGAAACGAGGCTGCGGGAGGAAGAAACAGGGCTGCGGGAGGAAGAACGAGGCTGCGGGAGGAAGAAATGGGGCTGCGGGAGGAAGAAATAAGGCTGCGGGGAGGAAGAAACGGGGCTGCGGGAGGAATAAATAAGGCTGTGGGAGGAAGAAACGAGGCTGTGAGAGGAAGAAGAAACAAGGCTGCGGGAGGAAGAAGAAACAAGGCTGCGGGGAGGAAGAACGGGGCTGCGGGAGGAAGAAACGAGGCTGCCGGGAGGAAGAACGGGACTGCGGCAGAAGCCGCAGTGGGGACAGGAACCAGTTCTAGGAAGGCAGGAGGGAGAGCAGAGCGGTTATAAAATGTGGGGGTCCAACCTCCATCTTTCTGTTAGACACACACCCAGCACCCTCCAGGTCAAAAGCTCCAATAGCACCCAACAGAAAGGTACTGGGGGTGGGCAGGGCCAAACCTGACAACCCTCTGAAGTCTGGGAGGAATGCTGTCCCCCCGCCCCCCGAGATGCAGGAAGACCGCGTAGATGCTGCCTCAGGGCACAACACTGGGGCCGGACGCCACTGTCCCCAGGGCAAAGGCAGCCGGTGACACCAGGGTGGCCCGAGCTTTTCCAGGGATGTGGATCGGGAGACAGCTCTACTTACACCCGGGTGGGGACCTCCACCCTCCTCTTGTCACAAGGGAGGACACCTTACAATCTCGAGACGTGTGGGGAAAACCAGCCACATGAGCCACATGACAGGGGACAGACTATGGCCCTGAGGAGCCCAGGCTGGGCTCAGTAGGGGTTTAAAGACCCACACTGTCATCAGCACTGTCGCCGACAGTCATGAACAGGGAACAAGAAAATGCTCTTGGAAATCAGAGATCTCACTGCAGAAACGGCCAATTTCTGAGAAAGGCTGGAAAACGAGAAGAAAACCTCCCAGAACACACAGGGCAAAAGCGGGCAGGACAGGCTGTGAGGCATGAGGAAAACGTGCCTCAGAGCCGGACAGACCCAGATCTTCACACCATGGCAGGGTGCTGAGCACAACGAATATTTGTATAAGTCTCGTACTTAGAAATTTCCTGCAAGAGTTTTTCAAATTTCCAAGGACAAAGAGAAGACCTGAGACCTCTGAGAGAGGAACAAACAGGCTGTCATGGCATCAGTCGTCATGGCATCAGAGTCGTAGGCGTTCGCAGGCATCAGAACCACGTCTTCCAAGCTCCCAGGACACAAGATTTGGAATCTTTCATTCTGTGCCCAAACAGTCTCTTTGGTTGTGCGGGGAGAACAGACATTTTCAGACATGAAATGCATCCGAGTTCCTCTCACATGTCCTCTTTCTAAGAAAAAAACTTCATATTCCAGAAAATCTTGGACAAAAACCAAGGAAAAAGAAAAAAGACAGAAACAGGCCCAGGAAATCGCCAACCGTGCCCAAAGGGGCAGCACACAGGCTGGGAACACGGCCCCCAGCAGTGGCCACGACCATGAGCTGGACAATTCTGAGGCTACGCTCGGGCCCACTGTGATTTTCTAACAGGCAAAGCAAAAGGTGTTTTGAAATTACGTAAAATAGGAAAAAATACAGGAAGTGAAGTTCAAACACAGTCAGCTGATGTGCATGTGGCCATGACGGTGGCCGTGGCCATGAGGGGAGCACTCCTCCCCACGAGGTGCTGGAGTGTGCGGACGTGGGGAGCTGCCCCCTGCCACACAGTAGCTGGGGACCATCCTCAACAGACCAAGTCACAGCCATTTCCTTAGCAGACAAAGTACAGCCAGTGCAGACAGGGACCCTGCAGACAGAGGTCCCGCAGACAGGGACCCCGCAGACAGGGACCCCGCAGACAGCGGTCCCCACACAGAGGGACCAGGAAGGTCAGGCCCACAGACTCGGGTCCACCAGCTCTCACCACTGACTCCATTCATTCATCCAGTGTTTACTCCCCGCAGGCATGGAGGGAACCCAGACAGAAATCCCTGCCTGCCTCGAGCTCACTCTCTAGTGGGGGGAGTAGTTTTTTTAAAAAAATTAGTGAATTATGGAGTAAATTAGAAAGAGGTCTCATCCACAAAACAATAAAAATAAAAGGAGAGCGAAGTCGGGAGGGTCAGGAATAGCAGAGGAAGGGGCTGCCGGGCCACGACATGGTGAGGCCCGTGTGCATCTGGGTGGAGCACGGCCCAGGGAAAGCACGGCCTGTGCAAGGGTCCTGCGGCAGGAGCATGCGTGAATGCTGGGGACAGGAGGCCCTGTCCTGCGGCAGGAGCATGCGTGAATGCTGGGGACAGGAGGCCCTGGAGGGGGCAGGGGGAGGGGAGGCTGCCGGCGAGACGGAGGGCAGACCCTGAAGGCCCTGTAGGTGCCGCCGACAGGACGAGGCTTTTCCTGGGGGACCCGGACGCGGAGCTCCTGCGGGGCTGGGGCCGACGGGGGCCGTGCTCTGACTTCTCCTGGCTGCTGTGTTGAGATGGGAGATGCAGGGGAGCATGGGACAGGCTGCTCTGGGGCCTGGGGCCGAGGCAGTGGGTGCGCGTGGAGGGTCAAGTGCATCCTGGAGGTGGAAACGTGGTGACGCTCCCAGGGGTGTGGATGGGAGGTGTGAGACAGGGGCTCCCGGTGACTCCTGGGCCTCGAAGAACCATGGCATCCCATCGACGGGGGCGGGGCTATGGCTGGGACAGGTGGGGAGATGCGAGCCCGGAAGCTGTGTGGGGGCGCATTGAGCTGGAGGTCACCTACAGACAGGTACGTTTCGGGGCTGGGCTGGAGGAAGGAGTCTGGGAACTGTTGGCCTGTGGACAGTTGTCCCAGAGCCAGAGGGGCTCACCAGGAGACCACGGGGATTGGCTGCAGTCAAGGGTGGGAGAGCGAGACGCAGCGAGACGGAAGGGGCCACCGAGGTGGTGGGGGTGGCCGGAAGCTGAGGGGACGGCGTCCAGGTCGAGGGAGCGTCCTGACTGCACACCCTGGGGTGGCTGCTGGGACCCGGGTCCCTGAGCACACAGGTGTGTGAGCAGTGGGACAAGGCCTGGTCACCTGGGTCCCTGAGCACACAGGTGTGAGCAGCGGGACAAGGCCTGGTCACCTGGGTCCCTGAGCACAAAGGTGTGAGCAGTGAGACAAGGCCTGGTCACCTGGGTCTGTGAGATGCATGTGGTACAAAGGGCACAGGTCTGCATGTCAAATGGTGTTGCTGGAAAAGGAGCCGTGGCCAATGAGAGGGGGGCGCTGCGGGCCTGCCCGAGGGAGCCGGGTGCTGACTGCAGACGACGGGCAACAGGGGCCCGGGGCCGTGTCCCAGAGCCTCGAGCTTCCAGCTCAGTGCTGGGCCGGGCTGGCCAGAGCAGGGGCGGTCCCTGGGCAGCAGGCTCATAGGGCGTGTGGGTGCTGCTGGGCTCTTCTGGACAGCGGCTAGCTGAGAGCTGGGTGAGGGGAGGGTTCCAGGAGAGCAGAGAAAAGCTCCAAGTAGTTCAAGTCCAGGCTCCGGCCTCCAGTGGACACGTGGCACCAGGACTTGTCGTGGAGACGAACTCCTCGGATCTAGGAACAGAGTCCCCACGCGGAGTACTCAGGAAAGGGTGCCCTCTGCTATGGGCTGAATCGTGTCCCCCAAACGTGTATATTGAAACCCCAAGCCCCAACATGACCTTATTTGAAAATAAGGCTACATGAGGTCATAGGGTGGGGCTCTGATCTGACAGGACCCGTGTCCCTATAAGAAGAGGCAGAGAGGCCAGGGTGCCTGCCCTTGAGGACCCAGCAAGAAGGTGGTGTCTACAGCCAGGAAGAGGCCGTCTCTGGGAGCCTGGCCGTGCCGGCAGCCTGACCTCGCCTCCCAGCCTCCGGAAACGCTTGTCTGTTGTTCAAGGCCCCAGCCGGTGGCACTAGGTGAAGGCTGCCCGAGCGGACCAGGACGCGCTCTTCCTAAAACACAAGTGGGCACAGGCAGCACCGTCCGCCCACCTGGTGGCTTAGGCATCAGCCTGGTGGTTGGGTTTTGCAAGAAGATGCTACAATTTTTACAACACTTTGTCTTGAAAATAACTTAAGAGTGTCTTTTGTGAAATTGTGTCATGCCTCCATTCATTGAAGACCTAAGATTTCTATTTTAGGAAGGTTTGAATGACACTAAGTTACATTCAGCATAAATGCTGCCTAATCTCACATCCGTGCACTCAGAATTGCACACCTCTGCAGTGTGCAACGGTCGTGTCATGCAACCCAGCTCCGTGCTGTGCACAAATGCTGTGTGCTCTGGGCCCCGCTATTTCAAAACCTGCTTCCTCCTAACTCCCATGTCCCAAACCCTTGCAAGAGTTCAGTGTGGGGTGTTCACTCTCCTTTGATTCCCCTTGAGCACCAGAGCCAGCCCAGGACTGAGCACAAGTGACTTCCCCAAAACACTGCTGCGTGGGGCCCTGAGGGCTGTGCTACAGGAAGTGCATGGGCGATGTGTGCAGCTGGAGCACACGCACATACGTTCATGCTCACACACACACACACGTGCATGCTCACATGCACGCAAACATACCTACGTCACACATATAGCATGCACACACAAGTGCACACCCACACACATGCAATCACAGTGCACACAGACATGTATATACACACGTGCACACACATGCATGCTCATATGCATGCAAATACACAGGCAGGCACACACATACATGTATAGACACATGCACGCGTGCACACGCATATATATGCACATGTACACATGTGCAGGCTCACACACGTATACACACAGCCACAGACCCACACGCACACGCACAGATGAATGATTCGCACCCCAGGCACCAGAGCTCCTGAGAAACTGCTGGCCCCTCCTGTCCCTGGTGGGCTCACCACAGGCCGGGCCGTACATACGAGGCATCAGTGAGGCAGGGCTGTCGGAACTGTTTGCCGTGGCCCATTTATCACCAATGAGACCCCGTGAATTATTCATAGACAAGAAAAGTCTCGAGTTAGCTAGCCCAGCGGAAACCAGCCCAGAGCCATCTATTTTGAAGACATAATCTGCAGGTGGAGGAGAAGGCAGGTGGGCGCTCCACCCGAGACAGAGTCGGGGGAGGAGGGGAAGGGCGAAGGCTTCGGACACAAAGTGCCCGGCCGTGGCCAAAATCGCAAACTTCTCATCTAGGCGCTTGTGGTTTGTCAGAAACTCCGAAATCTCTGCTTTCTCGCTCTGGGTCCTCAGTCTCGCAGGAGGGAACCCTCATTCCTACTTGGCCTAGACTTTGCTTGATTACATGTTTGATACTAAATTCATATTTTATGGTTATAACATTAAAAAACACCTCACAAGGTGTAACGTGATCTCTGAGTCCCAAGGCGAGATGAAGCAGCACGGCCCGCACGGCCCTGGGGACCATGGCTGACAGGCCCAGCAGCTCCCCCAAGCCCGGCGTGGCGCTGGGGGCACAGCGGGGACACAGCCCCAGCCTGCCATCAGGCCTTCTAGGAAGGGAAGGAGACTGAGAACGTGAAACACCACGAGGACAGCACGTGAGGACCCCACGGGAAGGGTCTCCTGGATACCAGGACCGTCCCCAAGCCTGGCCACACCAACGCTGCAAACCCTCGAACCTTAAGCGCCGCCTCTGGCCTGCACGTGGCCACTGTGTCCGACCAGGGCCCGTGGGCATTGGGGCGACCGATGTCCACGCTGAGGACAGAGCCCAGTTCCCACGAGCCTGTCACGGGAACCCATGTTTCTGTGGTTCCCACTCTTTCTGGAGAAATAAGGACGGAGCTCACCCACCCCACCTGGGGAGGGCCAGGCAGCACGCGCCGGGCTCGCGGCCGCGGGGCCTCTGCCACCACCACTCCGCTCTCCATGGCAGCAGCCAGACAGTGTCACGCGTGCGCACACCAGTCCCAACAAAACTTATTTACAGAAACAGGCGGCAGCCAGGTGTGGCCTGTGGGCCCTTTGGCTAACCCCTGCTCTAAACGACTCACGTTTCTGTTTCCGAACAAACCATTTAAGGACCCCTTAGGATTGATTAGCAATGTGAAGACATAGAAGGGTCACCAACATTTTGGTTTTTGATAGGAGTGATACCTTCTAAGGCTGAGAACACTTATCAAAGCCCTTATGCCCTCCTGACGGTTTCATTACTACAAGGCAACGCTGCGAGGCACTCACACAGGAAGACGCAGCAATTTAACTTAATTCTTGGAGGTCCATGTGAGTCTTTAGCTAAGCCATGTTCACAGCAGGTCCATCTACAGAGTGCTCAGTAAGTAAAAGCAAGGAAGCGCTTAGGTCTATGGAGCCGGTGGGGGGGGACACTCGGGACCAGGACAGGGGCGGCGAGAAGGACCAACGCCAGCGGCCTTGGAGGGCTGGGGACACAAGAACAGGGGTCTCTGTGCTCAAGACATGGAAACAGCAGCCACGTGGCTCACAGAGCCCTGTTAGAAGCCTCAGGCCATGGAGGTGTGTGGCAGAGAGGGACCGGCCACCGAGGAGCAGGAGGCGGCAGGGTCCTGGACAGGGAACATGGACGGGCCCACGCTGGGCGGACAGGAGAAGCTCGGAGGCGAAGAAACGGCCCTGCGCCCCCCGACGCCACCGCAGATGAGGACTTACTTCCGCCACAAGGCCAGGGGCTGCTCGGGGTCCCTCTCGGTGGGTCCCAGCGAGGCGACGAGCGCAAAGGGCCAGGCGAGCAGCATCATGAAGGCGGCGAGCAGCAGCCGGATGGGGAACAGCGTCAGCGTCATGGCCGCGATCTGCGGAGACAGGGGAGGTCGCTTAGGAAGCGCTGTCACCCGGGAACCTCTCCTTGCATGGAAGTCCCCAGGAACCAGCACCAGACCTGCCCTGCCCTCAAGGACGGCTGGCTGGGTCTCCGGCCACCTGCTGCCTCACCCTCCTGCTCCGTCCTGATGTCACCTGAGGGACGGCCGAGCAGCGGGGCGAGGGGCTCCCTCCTGGAGTTGGCGGCACTGTCTCCCCGACTCACACCCCACAGGCAGCCCTGCACCGGGCCTGATGTGACACAAGGACACTTTCGCAGCACTCAGCTGTCATGTGTAGAGCTGGCTAGAGTGGACCCCCATGAAAACCAAGGAATTTGGGTAACCATGCAGCCCGAGGGGGTCGCAGGGCGGGAGCCCAGCCGAGAACGTGCCACCGCGGATCTGGTCGGAAGGATGCCAGGAAGGCGGGTTGGGGCTCCGTGTGTGTGGGGGTGGGGTGGGGAGGGCCCTGTGGGTGACAGGGACAGTGCAATCCCAGGGTGGGGGTGGGAGTGATGCACACGCGGCGGCCAGCAGAGCGGCCGCGTCAGGGAGAGGCCTGGGTGGACAGATGGCCATAGCGGAAATGCACAAAGCGAGGCACCCAGCAGATCTCAGGTGCTCAGCTAGGACAGGGGCGGGAAGCAGTGACAGAAACACAAAGGCTCTTGATCCACAGATGCAGTTTTTAAGTATTTGCAATAACACACACTTCAAATATGTAGGCGAGGAGAAGACAGACCAGAAGGTCTGCGGTGACACGAGCCCTCGGCCGGCCAAGCCAGGCCGGGTCTGGCCCCTGCAACCGAGCTCCTGCCGATTGTCCCCGGGTCTCTGCAGATTCTCTTGGGCTCCTTATCCAGGCCAGCACTGCCCAATGGGATGCAGTGTAAACCATGTGTATAATTTTAAATTTCCCAGTGGCCACATTTTAAAGAAATACAAAAGTGATGAAATTAACTTCATAGTTCACTTAACCCAGTACGTATGTCTGAACTACTCTCATTTCCGCATGAGCTCGATACAGAAACCGTGAGCTTCCCCACACCTGGGTCACAGGGTCCTACAAGCCCGGTGTGTGCTCCCCTCCCTCGGCAAGCTCAGTCCACAGTGGCCACATGCTGAGTGCCTGAGAGCCCCTGTGGCGTGGCCGCCTGGTGGACGGCACCACACCGGAGACACACGCGTGCGGCAAACGAGGCCATGTTTACCGGCCCTCTTTCCTCCTCCTCTTGTGGGGGCACCTCCGCCCCAGCTGGGACCTCCCGTGTCAGCCTGAGGTTGGACAGGAGCAGCGAGAGCAGACCTGCTGTCCTGCTGACGCTGGCTCCAGGCTGCCCGTGAAAGTCTTTACCGGTGAGAACACTCCTCGCGCCCCTGGTTTTCCGAGAGCTTTGCTTTGCTGCAAGTCCCGACGGGGGCTGGCCTTTCGCAGGCCTCCGTGCACCTAGTGGGCCAGCCAGCGCCTGCCCTCAGCCACCGTCAGGGTGAGGTGCTCACAGCTTCTCCCACATTCAAGCCGTGGCTACAGGGCAAGAGAGCTGCCTGTACGAGTTCCTTTTTCAAGGACTTGCTGGGTCTGCTGGTGTCACGCCTCTGGGACCGAGCCATTGCCGGGTCCTCGTGGAGGCTGACCCTCAGGTCCTCCGGGCGTCAGGAGGATGCGGCCAGCCGCCTCCGCCGAGGAACGGCCACGCAGATGTCTGACCACGGCTTCGGTGCTTCTAAGACTACTGTTCACCGAGACTTCTCTCACCTCTTCATTTCGTTTCAATGTTTCTATCAGTGAGGAAGCCTCTGGAAGTCCTCAGCAGGTTTTTCCTCCCCTACCAAATTTCCCATCGTGCGTGATTTCAGGAAAATTGAGTGAATTTGCCCAGGACGTTCCCCTGTGGGTTTACAGCAGTCCTGACCTATGGTTTTGCTGCTAATAATATTTCTGTCTCTACACCTTCTTATCCTATGTTGACAGATGCTCTATTTTATTAATCTGCATACAGAACCAGTTTGATGTGCAATGTCCCTACTGTGACCGCCTCAATCATATTGATCTCAGCTCTTCTAAGAGCCCCTCCTACACTGTGGCCAGACTCTGAGGGTCCCTTTAACTTTTTGTGGTAAAAGCCCGAAGCACTGTTTTCAGAAATGCCTTATTTCCCAATATCCACATTGAGGACACACAACTTTCTCTAAGTAGCTCTTTAATTTAGTCCCACAAGTCTATAGCCTTTCCTTTATTTGTAACAGTTGGTATAAAATATTTTCCCCCGTTGTTACTATTTTATAATTTTGTTGTAGTGGGAAAAGAGGGCACAGTGTGGAGGCAGCGCTCCCTTCCTGCTCCTGAGTCGCCCGTTGCCCTTGTCGCGCCTGGAGTTCCGGCTCCCTCACCGTCCGGGGCTCTGGCTCCGAGGGGACGGTCCTGGAGCCCAGCATCCCGAGCCGCTGTGCCGGCTGGCTCTCTCCTCCCAGTGTGCTGAGGCATCCAATTCCTGGAGAGTTCACTCTTTGTTCCCATCAGTCGCTCCTCAAGCCTGGTGCCTGTGCTGGCAGAGTGACAGGCGCAGAGCGCAGGACGGACGGCTCAGAAAGTCCGCACACGCGGATGGCACAGCGTGTGCACCCCACACACATTCTGCAGCCACTTTCCTTCTGGTACCAGGATGATTTCTATACAAGTTGTGGACTGAAGCAAGTTATCTCAGGGCCGCAGAAAGACCGCATGGCTGCCCCACCCCATGCATCTGAGGCCTGGGGACTTGGATGGGGGCTCCAAGGGGCCCCAGGAATGCAGCGCCCCATTCCGTGTGTACCAACAGGGAGGAGTTGGCGAGACTGGATGGGGGACCCGAGCCCGCCCAGCACCCCGAGTCGGGGCATAGGGCGCAGCTGTTGTTTGGTTAATTAGCAACATGTTCCTGGAGGCCGGCTGGTGGCCACGGGTTCACTCGGCCATTGCACGTGGGCCACATATTTGAACCTGAGATAATGCACCAGTGCTCCTGCTGCCATGTGCACCCGAGGGCACAGTCCTGGTTTCTGAGTTTCACAGCAAAAAGGGACGGACATGTGAGCGCCCAGCACCAACTCTGACCCTCAGCAAACAAACAAGCCGCCACCGACATGAGAAGCGGACAGGTGGGGACAGGACGTAGCCTGAGACAGAGCCCCATGGACGGTGGTGCACACCTGGCATCACCTGGAGGCCGGGACAGGCGGTGCTGTTGGTGTGCGCCTGCACGTGTGTGTGGGTGTGTGTACATCATGTGTGCATGTGTGTATGTACGGATGTGTGTGGATGTTTACACACATACCGAACAGGTACAGTCCTGTGTGAATTGCACCCCTCCAGGGTGCAGGGAGGTCCCGGCTTCCTGTGCTGAGAGCCCTCGTGTTTTCCGGCTGCTTCTCTGGGTCCCCACGGCTCTGTGCACTCTCCGCTGGGCTCAGCCTTGCTCTGGCAGAGGCAGAAACCACCCCAGGACTTGGAAGGCCTGCTGCAGCTCCTCCTAGAACCGTCGTGGGCTCTGGCCACTTGTCCTGAGTGTAGACTGCCCACTGGTTGGACCGTCCCATCCTGCACCTTCCGGCCCACCTCTCCTCGCAGGCTCTGTCGCCCGCGTCCCTCCCAGGCCCGGTCACCAACCTCCCTGCGTCCTCACTGTCCCCCACACCCTGGTGCACACCGGCCACGGGCCTCAGCCTGTGCCCTCCGACCTGGTGCTTCGGGGCTCCAGAGAAGACGGCGGGAGCAGCTGTGACAGCCACAGCTCTGGCGGGGGTGGGGCAGAGGACAGAGTGGTGTCATGGCGAGGGTGGTCCTAGAGAACCCGGGCCAGATTGGCAACACAGAACAAAGAGCGTCCGACAGAATGCAGCTGCCCAACCACTTCCGGGCGGTCTGGGCCGAGCACTTGGAGGGCAGCATGGCCAGGTGCTTGGCAGTGACCAGGGCAGATGCGGCAGTTTCTCTCCGAGGCGGCAGCGCTGCCTTCCTCGGGCAGCCCAGAGAGTCAGCCTGCGGCTTTGCGGCATCCTGGTATTTTGTCCCCCTCAGGAGGGCACGGGGAGGGGCAGGGGTGCCCCAGGGAGAGAGGGCAGGTGTCCACTCCCCACACACCCAATGGGACCCAGCCTTGCGCTGGACACTGGCTCAGACAGCCTGGCCGGGGGAGGGTCCCCCAGGACCTGTTTGCACCAAAGCCCCTCTCACAGGGGCCATTCTGCCCGGGGGGGGGGGGGACGGGGCGACACCCAGCAGATGACACCTGTGCAGGCAGCAATGGGGGACGGAGGCCCAGAGAGGGAGGGCCTTGCTCCCAGGGGACAACTGCCCGGGGCTCCAGGGACAGGGGGCCAGTCCCTAAGGAGGCAGAAGCCTCAGCAGCCTGGGGACGACGCTGTGGACAGGGAGGGAAAGGCCGGCGGTGGCAGGACTTGCGCCTTTCTAGAGATGTTGCCGGCAGCTGCAGCCCTCCCGGCGTCACCTGGAGCCCCCGTCACCTCCCAAGTGCCAGGTGGTCACCCTCCCCGCGAGCTAGCTAAACGAGGATTTCTGACACAATCCTGCAAGGAATGACATTTAGAGTCCCTGGCTGAGTTATTTAACTACTGAAAATCGGCTAAGCTGTACCATTACAAAGAGGTTTAGCACGAACGACACTGACATACATACACGTCCCCAGAACATTCGTGTCGAGTGGCTGATTTAAACTAGACCTGAAGGTGAACCCCCGTTCCAACCTGCACACTTCATTCAGAGCCCCCAGCAGAGCGGTCCCGGCTGTGACACACCTGGGTGCCAGGACAACTTTGTGGGCTGCCCGCGGCCTCGAGACACCGTTTCGCCAACAGGACCCAGGGCCCTGGGCAACACTGATTCCAAGTTGGGGAAGAAAGCGCCAGAGGGGACCCTGCAGCTCGGCGGTGCAGCAAGAGGAGGAGAGCTGGCAGAGGCCCCAGACACCAGAGCTCACAGGGTGGAGCGCTTTGAGCACGGGTGACACGGTGCCATGACGGGAACTTTACAGACACTAACCATGTGGCCCACGGTCTCAGGCACACACGCACACACACACACACCAAGGAGAGGCCTAAGAAGAAAGCAGTCCTGGCCGCACCTGGAGCTCACACATTCAGCCTCCGGGACCCGGAGAGAGAGACTCGTGTTCTGGTTGCCACCTGGGGTGCCGTGTTAGGACGGCCCAAGCTGACGGGGTTGGAGTATGTTTGAAACGTCCCGTGGTGAGACGTGTGAAAATGACAATTCTCATTTCACATGAGAAACGTTCACCAATTCACAGCAAATTCACCTGCTGCCCCGGTCTGTCCGGAACTCTAAGTGAGGCACCTGTGGTCACAACGCATCCCCGACTCGCTGGGATCACCCCCTCGCTTCTGCCAAGGCCACGGAGGCCGCTGGCGTCGCCTCGGGCCGCTGGCCCAAGTGCCTTGTGTTTCACAGCCACCACGGAGCCACGGCTAAGGCGGGTAAGAGGCAAGGGTCCCAGGGCGCACGCGTGTCCCTCGTGCCTGCTGCTGCCTGTACCAGGCTGGGTCACTGCGGCGAAACACGCCCTCACTGGGGGTGGACAGGCCAGCGAGGGCACCGTGATGGTACGTGCCCATTGGGCATGCACACTGCAGTGACACCACGCTGAGGGGCCCCAGCCGACCGCGCAGGCCTCTAGAAACACGAGAGGAGGAGTGGCTGCTCCCGGGCCAGGGGACCAGCAGCCGGCAGAGGTTCTAGGACCAACCACAGCCCAGGCGGGCCTCCCCCAGAGCTCCCTGAGGGTGAAACCACAGCCTGGCGGCTGCAGGTGAGAACCCAGGCAGGGCCTGAGCACAGGGACCTGGCAGCAGGAGGCCCGGCCCCCCAAGCTGCTCACACGGATGCAGGCTATTGGACAGACCGCTGATGCCAGCCCGGGTGCCACCAGGGGACAGGTGAGCTGAAGGTCGCCTCTGTGACAGTCAGATGCAGGGACCGGCCAGGGGGAGGAGCTATGACTTACATGGGGCACTGAGAACAGGTCCTGAGGTGACAGTTATTTTCTTATGTCATAACAAACAAAATGGGCCTCACGTCCACACCGTTTAGACTTACGGCACTTGAATGAAGTGTTTTTCAAGGGTGGCAGGCCTAGGTGAGGACACAGGAGGCGGATGAATCTCTAACAGGTGTGGGGCCTGGACAGGAGGAGGAGCCTGGATGAATGGGGGTGCTACAGCAAACATGGGATCCTGGGACACAGAGGCGCTGGGGCCCACTTGCTGGGCCACTGAGGGGAGCTGCCAGAGGCCAGGAGGCCCCCTGCTGCTCCCAGCCCAGAAACCCAGAGTTGGGGGGCAGAGGGTCCCCCTACGTGGGCAGGAACTAAAGGGAACCGTTTACCAGTTCAAGGGGTGCCTCTCAGAACGAAGGTCCCCATGAGGTCACAAAGCAGCAGTTCCAGGAGCAATGCAACAGACAAGTCAAGTACCCCAAGTCAGTTAGCGCCCGCAAACGGTGTGTGCAGCACGTGCGGGCACGGCTAAGTGAGATGCAGGCAGGCAGGCTGGCTGCTGGGGCGGGGGGTGCAGGGTGGGTCCACACCCCACAGTGGATGGGCTTGGGCAGGCGGGGAGGTGGGCCACTCCCCAAGGTCAGCCGGCTGGTCAAGGCCAAGCTCAAGTAACAGCAGGATGCGGTGGGGATGCCCTCGGGGACGGAGCGGGGCGCAGAAGGGCTCACGCTGGAGCCCAGAGAGGCGCACCAGCCGGTCCCCAAACACAGCGGGGGGTGGGAGCACTCCAGGACAGGGGTGGGGAGCATGGCAGCGCAGGGAGTCTGGGGGGACGGGCTCCTCTTTGGAAGGACGCGTGCCCAGGGTTCCAAAGCCGCGGTTTCTGGGGCAGGAGCTCAGCATGCCTGACACGCACCTGGGGGCCGGCGGGGGTCGCCTCTGAGCTTGGGCGAGGAGGCAGACGTGGTGTGTGTCAATCCTGCAGAAAGCTGTCCAGGGCAACATGAGATCAACACGAAAACGCTGCCCAGGGACTTAATCTGCGTTTTATGCTGTTACTTATACAAACACATACAAAGCGAGCTCTTTCAAGAGTCTGGTTTAGAAGAGACAGAATATCGAAAAACTGCGGTGCCAGCACCTGAGGCCTGGGGCCCACGGGCAGCCCCGTCCAGGCAGGAAGCAGCTCCCCAGGACCACGTGGAAACAGCCCAGTCTCCTGGGGCTGTTTTTTTGATAGACACCAAGTCCCACAGGCCCAAACCCTATGCTGCAGCCAGTATGGACTAAACAGCAGTTTCCACAGAGTCTAACTGTCAGAATGCTGTAAAGCAAAAGTGAAACAAAAGCCCGCTGTTCTGAGCGGGCCGGGTCGGTCTTCTCTTGTCACACACACCATTGCTCTTATGAAAAAGCTTCCTCTTTATGAAAAGACAGACACAA